TCAAAAGATAACAAGGGGAGTGACGAGGGGAGAAATTTAGAGAAAATATTTTGTAATTACTCTATCTTCCTAATTTCCATTTTAAACTTTTAAATTCTTAATTTCAAATTTCAAATTTATTATATATTTTGTGTATTTTTATAACAAATAATAATTCAGATTATTTTTTTTTGTTAATATTTTCATTTTTTGTTTCTGAGTTTTTTTTTTAAATAATGCTTATTTTCAAACGTATTTGTTAAATAATGCTCGAAATATGTTAAATTATATTTATTTATTTATATATGTTTTTTGTGAGGCTATTAAATATATATGTTAAAAGTAAAAAAATTCAATATATTTTTTTTTTAAGAAAACAAAGTCAAATTATTAACTCTTTCTACAAAAAAAAATCAAGATCATGTTTGAAATTATGAAGCCTTTCTCCAAATTTATTTTTGCATGTTATTCGCCTTTCATATATACACATTTTTTTTTAATTCTTAGCCAAATTTTAATAAACAAAATAAGTTTTTTAAAAATTAATTTTTTTAATTTTTAAAATTTGGCTTAGATAATAATATAAATGTTATTTAAAAATTCTTTTCAAACTTCTTCTATTTATTGGTAGACACATCACTATAGAATTTTTAAACATTCACTAAATAAAAATTAAAAAAAATAAACAATAATGTCTCCATGATATAAAACTGTTTGTAGCACTGTAGGACTATAATTTTTCCAATTATTGTTTTTTTTTTTTATGTCAAATATTTTATTGCAAAACTCTAACTTCCATTCCTCAACTTTTGTGGGCTGTGGATAGTGGAGAGGAAAACGACTCTTTTGTCAAACCTCCAGCTAAGACTATTTCACATAATAAATTCAAAATTAATATTGACTCTATATATTTTAATTAACTTGTATAAAATAAATATTATTTATCATAATATAAAGTTGTAAACTATATTTATTTAATTTATGCATTATTGTGAATTAATTTAGTAGTAGGAACTAGATAGTATGTCCTGCAATTACTTTGTTTTAAATAATTGTAGTATATTATTTAATCAAAATTAATAAATAAATATTAATCAAATACAAAAATTATTCTTTTTTTAAGATGGATTTTTATTAAGAGCTAAATGTCACTTGAGGTACATTTGAGGAGTTATTATCCTCTACCATACTCATAAGCCAAAATAGAAAAGGGAGAGTTTTATATGAAGTCTTTTTTGGCAACTTAATGTCTTGTTAACACCAAGAGTTGTTAAATTGTATTGGGGAGTTTATATTAGTAGCGAGGGAGTCTGATTCTACCRAGTGTAATTTGTGGCTTGAGCCAAACGAAGATKTTTTAAAATCGCAAGGGATTCTCGCAAACAATAGATGATATTTAATGAGGATAAAACGAAATTCCGCAATGATTAGTCGAACGGAGATGGATGTTTAATTGTAGATGTCCTAACATTTTGGAAAATTTTAGTACAACAAATGAAATTGGAGATTCATATTTGAGATGGATGTTTATCATAGATGTCCTAACATTGTGGAAGTTAACAAAAAAATATATATATTTTTCTTTTCAATGAAAGTTAACAAAGTACTCCTCGGATCATATTTCATATTAATTCTGGAGAAATATGATTATTCTAGTTGCTATGGTTGTGATCAGCGAAATTCCTCGACATGTTGTGGTTGAAAAATCTCTATCATCTGCAGCTCGCAATCTCTATCCTCTACGACTCGCATTTATTTCCATAGAAATTGTGCCAAAGAGAGCATAGTTTTTTTTTTTACAACATCATCTTCCACCCTCTTAATAAGCCAGAGGGGAAGATGCCCTCCCGGCTCCCGCCCGTGATACAAGAACGAAATTGAGGTGAAAGAGCCAGCAAATTGATGAATATCACGAATTCATGTATCAATTCCATGTTAAAATACAACACTAACTATCTAGAAGCTTATGAGATTTTCCCCATATTTCTCTTAAATGTATTAGTCTTTCTAGATTATTCTGGGAGATCATAAATGTATATATAAAGATGCTCTAGAAATACCTTAAGTTTTTTTCTTAGGCTCCAAGAGATTCTAGAGAAATTCTTTTGGATAAGTATAGATAAAGAATTACCTAGAATATGTAAAGTTTAAGAAGAGCCTACAAATATCGTTTTCCTTAGGTTCCAAAGATCCTTCTGCTATAAATAAGAGGGATGTCCATATAGGTGAATCAAGCGAAGATGACGAATCAAGTAGAGTGAGTAAAGTTAGAAAGTGCGGGAAAATTTTCTCTCAAAGAGTGTCCATATTAATAAAATTCTAATAAAAGTTTCTTTTTTCAAGCGATTGTCTCTTTTCTTTTGTGCTAGTTTACTTAACATCTCTTTATTTCAGTCCATCATTAGATTGAGCGTTTTTAAAAAATCTGATTCAATTTAGACCTTCTGTAATTACATTAAAAAACTTAAGCGGATAGGTTGGATAAATTTAATTCATAGATATCTAACAAACATCTCATTATTCTAGTCCATCGTTCCATTGAACGCCCCAATGGCTTCGAAAGAATCTGATTCAATTTGGACCTCCTAATTATTGCATCCTCTCGACCAACGGAATACAACTTGCACCCGGAGGTAGCCATTCTCTGTCTCAACACAA